GGCGCTGGGGGCATCGTAGCCACCGGTTCTGGCACATTCCGTCAGGTGAGAGCAAGCAAATTCTAATTACGTTGTTGGGCGTTAATTTTTCTTATTTTTCTTCTGTCCATCTGTTTATTAGATTGTTTATTTTTTTCCCTAGTCGATCATCATCTGGTAGACAAATAATCATCAAGCGTAAGATGTGCTGTTTTAAATTGGGGCGAAAGAGGGGGCACTTGATGCAGCACTTAATTACTGTCAAGCAGATTCATCGATGAGACTTCGTTGCGCAATCCCTGCTTTTGACCCTAACATTACAGACCCTGACAACAAAGCAGAAGCGAAGGTTATTCTGCTACGAACATAAGGCCACTGAAAAACTTAGTGTAGTGTATTGGCTCAGTTGTCTAAAAGGTATTTTTCGAACACCGGAGGTACCGGGTTCTATTCTACTTCACGGAAACCGTTGTCTTATTTACGGATTCTCTTGAGCAAGGGATTTACCTTGCATTGCTTTAGACCGTGACGGCCCAGTCACTAGATTTTAGCGCTTGGAACCGATAGGTACTGAGTTCAAGACCCGGACGGGACCACCAGCCCTTCTTCCTGCCGAGGTTGATAAATGAGTACCACTCTGTGAGAAAGAAACAGAAGATTGCACACTACGCTTGCCACATGGCTGTAGACTCTGGCTTTAAAAACCGTATTCCTGGCTGATGGCATAAAAACAGAAATCAGCGCCGCACCATCAACTTCATCAAAAGAAGGGCTCCAAAGTGGCCCAGTCATGAAAGTGAAGAGGACCGACATACGAAAGTTGATAAATCGTTTCTTTCCTTTTCCCGTTTTTCTTCAAAGATAGGCTTACCGACCTTGGTACTGTTTATGCGGCATGCCTTTAGTTTTGAAACCTCCCTTCCTGCAAGGTTGCATGCATCCGTTTAATCGTTACCTTATTTAACGTATTTTTCACTGCTCATCGTTCTGTCTAGAATTAGCTTGCAGAATATCTTCGGAGGCCTATGTTCAGTACGCTTCAACGATACATTTTGAGTTTTCCATCTTTTGAACAGTACAATGGCTTTACATCTGACAATTTTTTTATCGATGTTTCGACTTCCGGCACCGAATTCATTATCAGAGAGTGTTTTACAGATGACTTGGTATGATGGCGATGAAAAGTGATGGTTTCTGTGTGATGAAAGTCTAAACTTCGGAGTAGACAAACAATATACTTCTGTTCAAAGGGTAAAGTGCTTAGAGTGCATCTTAGTTTGCAGTGTTTTGCTAATAATAATATTCATTATATCGACCTCTGAAAAATACTCACTGTTACATAATTAAGATGACCTGAACTGAATATACCCTCAGGTGCCTCTTTGTTCGAAGATTGATCATCTCGAGGTATTATACCAAGAGGCGCACTTAATAAAAATTTAGCCCCGGCCTGATAGTAGAGTGTTAGTTTTCTGTACCGCCGGCAAGAGTAGCAACATCCTGGTCATTTATCTGGATTTTCACGGCAGTATCCCATTGTGTGATTATTGCTTCTAGTCGCATAGATGACAGTTTAGTTAGTGCAGGCCATAGCTCCGTCGTATTTTAGTCCAATGGGCTTTTTCCAGGTATTATGGATTGCTAGCAAAATAATAGTTTTCAGTACCGCCAGCAATAATAAAAAAACTGATAGTAAACCTGGGGTTAATTTTTATTGTGTATGCCTACGGATCGAAGTACATTTGTTGGAGTTAGAATATGGTGTGTTTTACCGAATAGGGCAGTGATATTTTGCACCCGTGCAGAGCACGTGCCAAAGTACCATGGAGCCGTATCCAGTTTAAACGGCCCATGGTTATTTGAAGCCAATGGGATGATTTGAAAACGTCCTGTGAATCCGCAGAAGTAATAGAAGATTGTTACATTGAGAAGATTTTCAGATTCTCTTATAGAGCTGTGTCGATCGACGTTCAGATAGGGTAAACGAAATCTGTTCAAACGTTATGTCATGAAATCATGCCATCAATCAGTTCAAAGTCGGGAAAGCCCGGCACCTGATTGTTTTCCAGCAGATGTATCGAAAGCTAGCGATCGATACAATAATTACTGCGCATTTCATTTTCTGATACCGGATTTACTCGGCTCAACTGCACCGCCAAATTGCTTGTCGGCACCATTGAGCTAACCGCGGTTCCATGGTATTTGAACACCTGCAATGCATTACACGCTACCATATGTGAGTTGAACTGAAAGCAGTCTTAATACCCGACCAGACTGCTCTGTAAAGCTACTATGTGTAATTGCTTCGTGACATCGGCTTTGTTTTGCCAACATATTTGCTTACGTATAGTGTTAGATTTTGTAGATGCTCGAATGAGCCCTTCCGGCTCAGCTGAGACATTCGGTCCTGCAGCCAATACACTGTAGGTGTTAAAATACCTTGGATCCATGGCCTGCTTAAATTGTCCGCGTAAGTGATTAGCAGCGAAGAGATGGTGCATTAAATCGCCCCTATAAATCGGTAGGAGTAATTAAAATGTCGCAGCTACCAGCGGAATTGGGAAATGCCATGTGATACCTGCTTCGAAATATTTGGTTATGTTTTGTTTATAATTTAAACACTTCATACCATATGTTTGAACAAATGAGTAAAAATTTATTTCTTCAATGGGTTCGCCAAGAGTTCGGTTTTTCAGTAAAATAAAGAGAATAATTTTAAAAAATTATAGATGAGTTATCGTATATGTTAAAGAAATTTTGCAAACTGCAAGGACTTCAGATTGATCGTGTGTAGTCATGTGAATACAGTAGCTTTGGCTTCGATGCATGATGAGCTTTAAGTAACCCGATCATATAAAGAATGATCCAGTTTTTCTCTTGTCCCCGGGCACAGGTG